AAAAACAACAGAATTTCCATTCTCATTTCCCATGACCACTTCTGAAGTATATATTCAAACATTCTGAATGGTTAGAAGGAAAAAGCAGCATGAGATTATCAAGAAACAGATGCAAGCACAGGGGCTCTATATCATTTTCATATCCTTTCCTTCCAACCTTTTAGGCTGTACCTTTAAAACCCAGGCAACCAGTATTTGTGCAATTAAATATTCAGCAATAACTGAGGAAGCCATCTCTGACATGCTGCCAGGAGAATGAGTATTCAGAGTTAGGGGAGTGCCCTGCCAGCCCAGCTCTTGATCACAGCTCCCTTTCAGTCGCTAACAAACATGCATCAGCCTGGTGAAGCTGTCCCTTTGCTCATGCAACTTCCCACAGAAAACCTTCAACCAAGGCAAATGACCCCTCCTCAGACGCAAGTTTCCAGTTTAACACAACAGCATATCCAGAAACAACTTGTGGCCCTACGGCAACATGTCAGAGATCCCAATTTCGTTCATACAAAGAAACTCCAGTGGTGAGATGTTGACTTCTCCCAACTTAATCAGAGCACCCATCTCCAGCCTCTCTCCAGCTCCTAGATTCTTCAAAGCATGGATCCAGTTTCCCAAAACCAATGCTTCTCCACCCTCCACAAGCCTGGATGGACACACCACCATTTCTCCTGCCAACTCAAAAGCCAGGCGGTGAACTTTGCCAAGAGCTGTGGCTTCTAGCCAGGTCTAACCTTCCCCACAACTCCCGGACTACTGTTCTACTCCCCATCCCTCGAAGAAGAGCTCATCTACCAAGACAAAGAACAGGGCATGAGAATCCAAAACCCTACAGTGCTTCTAAGAGTGGAACAACTCCAGTGCAGATCTTTAACACCAGCAGCTCTTAAAACCCACTACAAAATCCACCAGATAGTAGGAACAGCTACTAATGTTTGCTTTGATGATCTTACTCTCAGAAACTAACACTTCAATGAATATGTAAAATTATATTAACTTCACAGGGATTGCTTTTTGCTTGGAACTGCCCTATGTCTCTTCTTTAATTCATTTTGAATGAAAGCAAGATCCACAGGGATATCTAGGAAAAAGCAAAAGGGCAATGAATATCATGGAACCATGAAATGGTTTGGGGTGGAAGGGACCTTAAAGCTCATCCAGTTCCAACCCCCTGCCATAGCAGGGAATTACACCTATGACGGTTTTCTTCCCACTCACACAACAAAATAAGACCAGTGAAGTCCAACCATTTCTGAGTGTTTCTTATGGATGACAGAGCTCTGGTTCCCGTCACATAAAAAGCATGTCAGGGTTTTCAATACTCCCTAGTTGTCCTCTAGTAAGGAGTATAAGCTTATGAAGACACAATTAGAACTACTCAAGTGGATTATATTCATACTCAAATGCTTTTTTGGTGGCAGTGGTGTGAGGGAACAAAACTGATTAGAAACCAAAATATTTCCTTAGAGTTAGTAAACTACTCCAGACAGACAACCTGTAGTGGTGGGAGCTGGAAATCGGCATGTCTGAGGCAGATGTTTTCCTTCCACAGAGATGTTTTTCAGAGTGGATAGGGGCTATCTTGCTAAGGGAAGCATCTATTCCTAGGGATGAAACACATCTGGAAAGATGGACTCTGTTTTTCCATTCTGATTGTTTCAGCTAAGCCTTGGCAACCCTGAGAGCAGCACTGATGATGCGCTCTTGGGTCTGCACCAGCGGCACACTGATTTGCCAACACATCACTGGTTAGCCCACTATTATACGGCTCTGTCTATAGCGACTCACACAGCTGCACCTAAATATCTTCTGGTTTCATGTTATACACATGCTTTTCACAGTTGGCTTGCAGCAGATGAAGTATGTGCTGTCTTGCAAAGGGATTTGAGCTTGATCAGCCGAGCCAAAATGTTCTGTTGCCTTCAAGGAACCGCACCATAAACCCTGTCAGGTCTTATTTACAGTGCTTGTGTGCAGACAGAACTGCCGTGCCAGCACAGGGACTCAAACCAGCCAGGTCCCAGGCAGTGTTTCTCCTTGTTAGAAAATGTGTGTCACTTCTGGAAAGTTGGTCTGTTCTAGCTTACCAGTATCTGAAAAGCTCCTTTCACTTTCTTTGGACTCAGGGCAAACCCTGACACAAAGTTTTGCAATCTGGTATCACTGACTGAGGCTTGTATGCAGGGAAGCAACTGGGCTCAAATGCCTCTATGAACAGGCAAGGGCAATACCTGCTGAAATCTGCCTTATCCATTAACCTCATTATTATTAACAACAGAGCAAAAAGACCAACCAGCAAGAAAGCTCTGGCTCCTGGTAGGCGAGTACAGCAGGAACACACAAGGATCCAGAGTTTGGAGATTTAACTGGCCTCAAAACTGCCAGATATTCAGGTGGCTGTTGACGTCAAAAATACTATTATGTTCCTGTATGATCAGACTGATGGGACTTCCAGATACGGGTCTGCCAACAATGAACCTCACCCATTCAGAGATAAGCCTCTGCTTTCCTCACACAAAAATTGATCTTGAGTTCACCTAAAAATAGTATACAAAGTCCTGCTTAAGAACAAATGCCACTGCTGATCACAGAAGCGTTCTGACTGTCCCCCAGAGATCAGATGCTGAAATACAGTCACGACATGGGGCTTGGAGCAACCTGCTCTAGTGGAAGATGTCCCTGCCCGTGGCGGGGAATTGGAACTGGACGAGCTTTAAGGTCCCTTCCAACACAAAACATTCTATTATATGAACATTGTGGGAAAACACTCCTCAGCTGGCAGGCACCTCAGCAAGGAACCATGCTTCCTAATATCTCTGAATTAACAGCCTGAAAATGGTTTCTTCTCTTGGAATACCAGCAGTGTATGCAGTCCATGCAGCATATGCCCCAGAACTTCCTCGCAAAGAACAGGAAGACAGAGCCCGAAGGACATTCTCCCAGCTTGTTCTAAACCCCAACGCAGCAGCTTGGAAACCTGATCTGTTCTCATGCTTTTCAGGAGCAAGTGAGTTGATAAACTGAAGCACAAGCTACAGTACCGCTGCTGAGGAGCCAACTGCATGAAAACTGTGCACTTTCTGATCAAAAATAGAACTTCATAAAGATAAGCACCCAAACCTGCCTCCTACTACTTTAAAAGTTACATTAAAATGTTTTATATTTAGATCACATACAAACAAAAAATTGCTTCGAGGCAGAAGTACAGAGACATGTCATTTACTAAGTTCAGAATCATTCAGGGAGTTCTTGTCATTCCCTCTTAGTTTAAGTGATTTGAAAACAGCATTTATGAAGCACTGGGAGCCCTCAGTGTCCAAGCTTGAAGTATCTGAGAGCAGCACATTGATACTGAAATCTATAGAGTAAACCAAACCAAGCCCTTGCAACAAGAAAACCCCATCCCAAACTTGGGCATTATGAGAAGGAGGAGGAGATAACCAGAAGTTTCCTCACTTCCTGTTAAAGCCTGGTCACTGCTTTGGCAGTGATTCCCAAGATTTAACAAACCCCCCAACTAAAACAGGGGACCACACTGCATTTCTCAAGCAAACTAAAGAGTGGAGGTACCATCCTAACAGATCCAAGTTGGTGCACAACAGTGCTACAGGTTTATCCGACTTAAATTGCTGCTGCTGTAGGGGGAGTGAGAAAGAGCATAGAAGTGGACAGGCGAGTTGGCGAGACAACATGCTGCTCTGTCTGCATGCCCTGCAGAACAACTCCACTGAAATAACTTCCTTCAAAGGACACTTCATCAGGTTTAAATTCATGCAAATGGTTTGCTCTCTCTTAAGCCTTAGTCAAACTATCAGAGCAAGCAGCAGAGTGAGGACAAAAGAGTGTCTAAAAGCTTTTTCACCTCCTCAGCTACAGAAGGAGGTGTGGGCATTCATGTTGACCAAGTCCCCCCTTTGCAATTGCTCACACTCCTTGTTAATCAAGGAACATACTGTTGCCTGCACTAGTAAAAAGCACTTAAGAGAGTGGTAACCCATTTTTAATGCCATTTCAACTCTCTGAAGATACTTTGGCTCAATAAATCGCCATTCGAATGCAAGTTCTTTATCCCACACTTTGCTTCCCAAGTCTCTGCACCATTCCAGAATTAATCTGTAAAACAAATGCCAATTACTCTTCACAAAACGAAATGAATACTCCATTATCCATGAACAGCTTCTTAAAAGAGCCAGCATAAGCACATGATAGCACAAGCCTCAGTAGCAAGTTTTCATTTCTTAGTAATTCCCCAGCATCATCAGCTGGGAAAGATGACAAATTTGAAACAGACCTGGAACAGTTTTATGTAAAATCATTAACATAAAACCTACCCCATTTCAGAGCTAAAGTGCCTCTTGAGCTCTAGTATCATCAGGTTGCCTCTGTCCATCAAACACACCTTAAGTCTGACGCAGTGTTATCACGGTTATGAGCAAAGCTTCTTTTCGGGGGAAGCCACAACCTCTATCTCCAACCAAAGCAAGAGGGGAGGCCGACTCTCTCGCAGCATGGCACAGGCCTGCCCTGCTCCACAGCCCTTCTTATAGCGAGACCAAAGACGGGAAGGGGAACAAGGGGCACGAAGGCACGGGGGCATCCTCCTCCTCCTCCTCCGCACCACGTCAGGCTGCAAGGGGAGGATTCGGCCAGGACCGCGGCGGGGCAGCACAGGAAAGGCTGGGCTCCAAGCAGGCTCGGCAGCAGGCCCCGCCGGGCTCCTCCCGGCCTCCGAGCTCCAGCGGAGACCTGACAGCGCCAGGCCGGGGCTCAGCGCCGCCGAGAGGCCGCTAAACACCCGCTCCCAACCCCAGACGGAGCGGGGCCTCGCGGGCCGGAGCAGGCGGCTCTGCAGGCCCTGCCGCGTGCAGGGGGTGTGCTGAGGGCAGGGGGTCCGCCAGGCCTCGGCCAGCCCAGCGGGAGCCCCCCGCCACGCCGGGCCCGGGGAGCCCCCGCCGTGCTCCGGGCCCCCCCGCCCGGCCCAGGTGCCGCCCCCCCACACCCCGTACCTGCGTCCCCCGCGTCAGGCCGCAGCCGCTGAGCTGCCCGTACCGCAGCTGCTGCAGTATGTTGGTGGGCGCCGCGCGGGCTCTGCCGGGCCTGGGGCCCCCCGCCGCCTCCGCCATGTCCGCCGCGGTGCTCGGGCGCACACAAACATGAAGCGTCCCCCCCGCTCCGGGAGGTGCTTTGTACGGGGCGGGAGCAGGGACCCAGTCCCGGCAGAGCCCTGCGCGCTGCGGGGGACGCTGGGAAATGTAGTCCAATGAGGGCGCGGGGCTGCCGGGAAGGGGAGGGGCGCGCGGGGGGAGCAGAGCGGTGTAAATGGCTGCGGGGGGGAATAAACCCCAGCGGGAAACACAGCACTGGGGGAGTAGGCACTGTGGAGCACGGTCACAGAATCCCAGCCTGGTTTGTGTTGGAAGGGACCTCAAAGCTCCTCCAGTTCCAACCCCTGCCACGGGCAGGGACACCTTCCACTAGAGCAGCTTGCTCCAAGCCCCTGTGTCCAACCTGGCCTTGAACACTGCCAGGGATGGGGCAGCCACAGCTTCTCTGGGCACCCTGGGCCAGCGCCTCAGCACCCTCACAGGGAAGAGCTTCTGCCTAAGAGCTCATCTCAGTCTCCCCTCTGGCAGGTTAAAGCCATTCCCCTTGGCCTGTCCCTACAGGCCCTTGTCCCAAGCCCCTCTCCAGGTTTCCTGCAGCCCCTTTAGGCACTGGAGCTGCTCTAAGGCCTCCCCTTCAGGAGCCTTCTCTTCTCCAAGCTGCCCCAGCCCAGCTCTCTCAGCCTGGCTCCAGAGCAGAGCTGCTCCAGCCCTTGCAGCATCTCCATGGCCTCCTCTGGCCTTGCTCCAGCAGCTCCAGGTCCCTCTTGTGCTGCTGCCCCAGTGCTGGACCAGGACTGCGAGGGGTTCTCCCCAGAGCACAGCAGAGGGTCAGGATCCCCTCCCTGCTCTGTTGCTCATGCTCTGGGGGTGCAGCCCAGCACACGGGGATAAGGTCTGGGCTCCAAGTTCTGGACTAACATGCAGGCAGCAGCTCCAGGGACCCAAAAGGTGATGGTAGTCCCAAAGACATAATGGTGACCAGCAGCCACTCTCCTCCCTCACTGCTGCTGGCTGGCTCTAGAGTCTTAGGGCTGCTGTTGCCAGCCCAGCTCTGGTGGCTGGTGAGACAACAGGGAACATACAGTGTAGGCACCCAAAATCACTTAAAACACAGATCTTGGTTTATATCCCATTTTATTATCCCTTTCATTGTACAAGGGACAACAGAATTCAAGAATGACAGTAGTGATTTACATGATGCTTTAGAGCACCCTCTAGCCCGTGCTACTGCGATGGCTCTCAGGTGATGTACTTGAAAGTTTTACAGCATCCCATCTTCCAGCCCTTCTCCCCACCATGAATAATGCGTGGGCCTGATGATGATCACAGTTTTAATTGTAAAAAGCAAGATGTGCTAATGGATGACTTGCTGTCTGGATAAACTGCTGCTCACAGCCACTAAGCACTGCAGCTGAAGAAATGCACACATGGCAATCTGTTCACTTGCCTGCTCATGCTGCCTCAGATACAAACGGCTGCTCTCAGTCCCTTCTCCTAGGGACTCCTGTCACACTGCCCCCTTTGCTTTTTGGTATGGGTGGTTTTTTTTGCCATTGACAGCAATTCATACAAAGTTCTGACTTCTTCTTTTTCCTTTGTTAGCTCCATTAAAATAGTATTTCACAAGACGCTGGTTTGACCTTTCACCAACCCACAGCCTCTCCACATCCCAACAATTGCTTTTGAAATACCTCAGAAAATCCAGCCTGAAGTTTCGGGCTTTGCAAGATGCTGGGGGTGGAGAAAAACACCACCACAGTTTTAAGTATGGCATCAACAGTACATGCTAAATTTGGGTTCTGTCTTCTATCTTTCTCCACCCAAGCAAAGCCTGTAGTATCTTTCCAGCCTCTGAGAGATGCCACAAGTATGCACTGGAGGTAGGACCTCCTGAGCCCTGATCTGCCTCATTTGGAAACCATTCAAAGCTGCCACTACCCATATGTGTTTAACATACCTCTCATCTTGGGTTCCTGACAAAGCTCCTCTACGTTCTGTTAACATGACACAGTTTTCCATTTACAGAAAAGGCTTACTAGAGGAGCCTAAGAAAGTCGGTTTAGTGAAAAGAAAGTCTTAGTAAGAAGGTAGTAGCTCCCAAATACTGGACCAAACCAAAATTAAGGCTGTCTTGTGTTATTCTGACTCACCCATCCATAGCACCAACCAAGGTCCATCTGATTACTCACAGTAAGACAGTAACTGTGGAGAGATGAGTTCTTTCAACTCCCACCGTGCTAAGGATAGGTCTTACCTTCTAAGGCCCTTTGGTTCTGATACTGAATGTAGCTTGTTTGTGCCTGCTCCAACTCCTCACTTCCCAGCAGGCTTGAAGAAAGTTCATCACTTTTCTGCCCCACCTTTTTTCCCTCTCTTTAGAAAGAAAACCTCTTTGTAACACCAGTGTTGGATCCTTGCATACATCTGTCAAAAAGACACTAATATCACATTTAAAGGTTTGGATTTGTCAGGTCAGCTGAAATCCAAGAGGTTTCATGCATTTCACCTCTTAAGAAATAAGTTTCCATAAGAAGGGTCATGGGAACTCTCTCACTGCCTGCTGCACCCTGAGGCTAACTTCACCCACTGAGTTGGCTGATTCGGAGTTATACAAGTAAGGACCAAAGGGAAGTTCGAAAGAGGAAGGAAATGGGGAAATGTCATAGGAAAAGTGTGTTAGATTCTGTAAGAAGGAAGCAAGCTCCACTGCACAGTAAACCAAACCTCTGCTAGTCCACACTCCACCCCAGTTTGCAGATGACACTACCTGGACATTTATTAAACTGGTTTCAGGCAGTTAGTACTGACCCACACTGGTTATAGACATGGAAGCACCAAGAACTTCACTATGTTGCCAGTGCTGTCCTCCCCTCACAGCATCCTTCAGCTTGACAGACAGGAACCACCTCAAACTCAAGTTTTTTTAGCTGGTCAATCTCTCAGGTAAATCACATGTTCCTGAAGAGGCCAAAGAAAAAAGGTGGAGCACATCACAGAAGAGACTTAAAGGCTCAAAGGTGAAGATACACCTTGTGCTCCCTGCTTTTCCCCTTATAACAGGCAACTGCTCAGGCTCATTTTTATAGAGCAAAGTGTCGATTCTGCATAAGCCTGTAAAACTTCAAACTCACAATGGAATCATCATAGAATGGAATGAATCCCAGCATGGTTTGTATTGGAAGGGACCTTAAAGCTCACCCAATTCTAACACCCTGCCATGGGCAGGGACACCTTCCACTAGAGCAGCTTGCTCCAAGCCCCTGTGTCCAACCTGCCCTTGAACACTGCCAGGGATGGGGCAGCCACAGCTTCTCTGGGCACCCTGGGCCAGCGCCTCAGCACCCTCACAGGGAAGAGCTCCTGCCTATTATCTAATCCCCTCCCTGAGCTGCTGCTCACACTCTGGGGCTGCAGCTCAGCACGGGGAGGGGGGTCTGGGCTCAAGCACACACTTCAACCGGGTCATGGGGAGCTTCTCCTCACGCAACACCCCCAAGTCCTTCTCAGAGCTGTTCCATCCAGTCTCTCCCAGCCTGTGTTTGTGCTGGGGATTGCCCTGACCCAGGGGCAGGACCTTGCACTTGGACTTATTGAACCTGCTATTCAGGCAACGAATTGGTTTGAGATAGGCAGTAACAGCTGAGTACCTGAATCACATCTGATGAATGCAGCAGCAGAATTTAATGGGAAGCTGCTTCACTTCCTAATAAAATTCACATTGTGAGGTACAACACTTTCCATTATGAAACTAAAAAAGTATATTCCCAGAGTCTGACTCAAGTTCAATAATTTAAATTGATGAGGAAAACAGAATCAGGTGTTATCCAGGAAGACCTGTCCCAGTACTGCAAGCTTAGAGTTAAAAGACTGACTGGGGCAACTCAGAAGGGAGTGTGAGCTCTTCTTGGAGTTCCTCTTCTCTCTACCTTTCTCTGATGAAGCATCTTCAGGGTCTTTTGCACCTTCCCCTTCACCATGGGTGGAAGCTCTTTTTAAAGTAAATTTCTTGGGTTTCTTCAGTGAGTAGAATTCCCGCATCAAATCCTCCACCTCCCACTGCTCTTCCTTACGCTTCCTGCAGCAGTGCAGGGCAGCAGGGTCGATGGGATGAGCTTCAGTGTTGAAGATGTATCCTCCAGCATTCAAGATGCATTCCCCATATGGTGTAATCACCACATCAAAGTCTGATCCATCATTGTGAATGAAGTTGTCTGGGTCAAAGAGCAAGTACAAGTATTTGATTGTTTCAGCCAAAAAGAAGGATTCCATGCGATTATCCAGCCTGTGATCCCGCAAGTCTTTGATCTATGGGAGAAGAAATACCGTGGGTTACAGTAATATTGAATTCAGTAAGCCATGAACTGAGGGGAAAAAGTAAAACCAGCAATACATTTCAGTTAAACAGCACAGGATGGCACAAATTCACCCTGTATTTTAAACAGATGTATGCAAACACAGCAACAAGGTTCCAGATGTGTGGAATTAGCACAGTCTAGTAATAAGGAGCAGGAAATAAGCAAGCAGGAGAAATGCATTTCCTAACTGGGCAAGGAGGAGAAGAGGGAGGAAGCTTCCCATCATTTTCCCTACCAAAAAAGCCCACAACATAAGGCTTTTACCTACTTCCCAACCACAAAGCTTAATTCCCAATATTTATATGGAGGTTTTTGTAAAATAGAGCTTGAAATCTTCCACTGAATGATTTCAGAGAAATCACACCCTGCAGTTCCCTTGTGTTTGATCAGATTTTCAAGGCACAGTGGGAAATCACAACCACACAACTGGCAGGCAAAGCCTGCACATGAGCCTTCCTGCTGGGTGGAGCACCGAGTAGCTAGAAAGATACAAGAGGCATGAGAAGCTGCTGATGTTTTCTCATGCTTGGGCTCCTGCTGCCCATGCCAGAATTCAGCCACTGTTCACCAGAAACAGGAGCAGCCATTACCAGGTCAGCTTGAGAGAAATACAAGGTGCTTGTTTGAAAACAAAATCATGTTTCAACTAAAGCAATCACTTGCCTCAATGGCAAAGTATCATTTCTGAGAACACTTTCTGAAAGCTGATGTTTCACAGCCATTCAGCTGACTCAGCAGTTGATTTAACACTTACAGTTGCAAATCCACAGTCCACCTTGCTGATTTTCTCTATTGACTCCACTGCATCCCTTCCCAGTTCCAAGAGTGTGGGATCTCTTGTAGCACGGTACAGATACATCGCGCTCTCAATCAGCTCTGAAAAAAACCCCAGACATTTGCAAGCATCAACATTAGCAAGCCATGGACACAGGGAAGAAGAGATATTCCTTTTACTACTTTCTAAACACTGCTTCAGGATGCTGAGGTGAACAGTGCAGCTTACTTTGTGTCTCCCCTGGCTCAAAGCATTTGCTTCTCCTGAGGATGTGCTACAAAGAAATTCACTGTAATCAGATTGCATCAGCTCAGGTAAGAGTGAATAATGCTCCCCTCCCACATTCAGGGAGTGGGAGGGTAGTAAAAGAGAGTAAGATTAGAACTCAGATGTCAAAGGAAGAGAAGAAAGATGCTTCTAGAAAGAATGATGAAGAAATTCAACCCCCAAAAATGCAATTTTTAATATTGTAAGCCTCAAACTGGGTATCTAAAACACCACTAAGCAAGCATTGTGGAAATACTCTATACAGGCAATGTATGCACTGTGATGTGTTTATATACTAAAGAAACTGGGATGCTATAATACATTAGAAGTCTGGGATTCTATGAATGTAGATGTCACCTGAACACTCAGCTCTAAAGAAAATTAATTACTCAGATTATGTCACTGTACTATTACAGACAACAAACAATCCTATTATAGATATTAACATATATATTAAGAATATATATAACGTTAATAATACTATATACAATTATACATTATAATATACAATATTATACATTATAATTATATAATTATATTTGTATTATATTAATAATATATTAATTATATATATATTAAGCTGAGCTTTACTGGTGCAAATAGAACTGGTTTATTTCGGGAACTCAGCAGAACTAGTGGTCTGTCCATACTCACTTTCACTTCCTAAATATGAAGAACACAAGCAGTCACATCAACATTTTGCATGCATCCCATGTTGAACAATCTAACACTTACACATGTCAAAACCTACACTGGGAACCCAGCTCATTAACATGCCCCATTCATATAGTAACACTATGGTTTGCTTCCTCTAAATGCAGACCTGCCTGTGTGAAGGGCTTTGACTATGGAGATCACTGGTAAAACACATGCAGGAACTAAGTCAAAGCAAAACTAGGGAGGAACTTTTAGGGGGTAGGTAACATCTGATTGTACCACCAGAGCAAGAGCAGCATTCTGTGTTCCTTTTGATTTCACTTCTGCTTACCAGGCCTGAGTGGATATCCTTCCCTCTTGTCCACTGTGTAGCCCTGGGGAATGTTGTAGAACTCTGGCAGCCCACCAAACTGCTTCCAGACAGTGTAGTAGTTGAGGAAGGTTCTCATGGCATTATCTACATCCCCAATTAGGCTCTGAAAGAGAGGGAACAATTAGCAAAGCAACATCTGAGTTAAGAAGAAACAGCACAGGAATCAATGCAATAACACTGCTATAGTTGAAGCAAGAGATAGTGACAGAAATGGGTCGTTCAGGTCTGAGGGGTGTAACAAATTCTTGGGCATGATGTCTTGAGACTAAAGAGGAGACAGATGCTGCTTTTCTGTTGGATCACAATCCACACACCTGAAATTATAGGAAGTCTCTATGATTTTCAGTTATAGAAGGTTGTGTTTATTCAGTCAACATTTCTTTTAGTCAATCACAGCATCCAGTCTATTTCAATGGGGATAAAGTCCCAGACCTTTGGTCTGATCAGAAAGCAAACCATGAACAGGAAAGGATTCATACAAATAAAGCATTTATGAGGTGGTGGAAAAAGAGGTGTGATTTTCTTTTTCCTTACATTCCCACCTAGATTATGAGCCCACTGTCAGTGGAATTTGCTACAACAAAACTACCCTGTCATGCTTAATGGGAGACTTTTTATAGACCATAAAGTCAACATCTGCTCTTCCACAGGCTCAGACTAGGGCAGATTTCACCAGAGAGCAAACCAAACTTTTAAAGCAACACAGATGAGGGTTCTATTCAGAACTTCTGTATTAAAAACAGATGAACAAAATCACCACATGGTATTACAGCTCCTACCTGTAGGCCTGGCCAGTAGGCCTCGAGGGACTGAAACACAGGCATGGACACTGTTCCTTTGTACATCTGAACCCAGAGGTACCAGTCATCGAACTTTGTGTAATTTTTGATAGCTTTGTTATATTCTATAGAGAAACACAGAGGGGTTGGTAACAACAACAACAAAAATATCTCTTAAGAGCAAGAGAAGCCCCTTTTTCACTTGAGCCATGATAAATGACTGTTCCTGAAGCCTTTGTTGTAATAATTTTGAACAGTCTGTGATGACAAAGAGTAACCAGGATGCTCACTTTGGTTACTCTTTGTCATCACAGACTGTTCAAAATTATTACAACAAAGGCTTCAGGAACAGTCTTGAATCGTAGAATCACTGAATGGTTTGGGTTGGAAAGAACCTTAAGACCATCCAGTTCCAAACTCTCTGCCACGGGCAGGGATGCCTCATACCAGACCATGTTGCCCAAGGCCCTGTCCAACTTGGCAATGTACTCTATTATGAGTCTACATCTTCCACAGTCCCACATGCAAAATTTTTACAAGGAGCCATTCCTGGGACTCTTCACTCAGGACACAAACTACTCACCCAGAAACATGGACATCAGCTCCTCGTCCTGCAGGAGAATGGCTCCTTTGACAAGGTATTCAAAGTAGGAGTCCACTCCTGCCCCAATGCCAGCATCTTGGGCCACCCACTTGGCAGTTATCACATCAATGTGGTTGCCAACCTGGAAGAGGAAAGGGAGGACGAAAACGGGAGTTAAGGTGAAAAAAAAGCTTATTTGCTAAACAATAATGCCCACACCACCACCGCACAAGACACCTTTGAGCTTTCTTTACACTGCCTATTTCACAGATTCAATGGCCATTCCAACTAGTATTTTTTCCATTGCAAGACACATTTATCAGTATCAGAGAAGTACAAACTGTAGAAAATGTAATTTTACCATTTCAAGCTTCCAATATGAACACTGCACTGGCCAAACCAAAGCACCATTCTACTACTGTAAAAAGGCACAATTTCAACGTGATGCGACTGGTCCTAATTCTGATCTTACAAGAGAATAAATAAGGATGAAGAGGTCCAGAAACAGACAACAAGGATGTCAAAGGCATGAGAGCTGCCATGCTGATATTTAAATAGATCCTTCACACCTGGGACTCTTCAGCCTAGAAACAGACCCAGCTGATGGAGTACAAAATACACAATCATGACTTGCTTGGCATGAAAAAAAAACCAGCTACTGAGTTTCTTTCCTGAACAAGGCTTAGAGGTATAAACCAAAACTAAACAGATGCCAAAGCAAACAGAAGGAAACACTTCTTCATACAGCATGTTAACAAATCTGTTCCTCTTTACATACACAACACTAGGAGTTCACACGGCTTCAAAAAGCAGCTACAGAATTAGCTGAAGACTGAACACAGAGATAACACTTCTAGCTCTGGCTAATCCTACACCACCAAAGCTGTAGAGGCTGGTAACATCCTGTTGCACTTGCCATACTTGTATTCTCTTCTGTAGGGCATTGTCCCAGCAAGCATCAGACAGACCTTTCATTTAATATCTTAGAGCTGCTGTTACAAAACCAGCAATACCCAGTGGGAGGTGTTGATCTGTTCTGGAGCAGAACAATGGCATAATGTTGGGGAGAGATGTGGATGCTGCAGGTGTTCAGGAACAATGTGAAATACAAGACTTCAGCCCAGTTCTTAGCACTGGTTATTTATCTAGTTCCATCTCCTCTTTCTTTATGCTTTTTTATGCTTAGAGAGGCATCCACAAAGCTACACAAGAAGCAAGCCAGCAAATTCAAAGTCCATTCTTCACTCACCAGCCCAATATCTGAGCGATTCTTCCACAGTGCCTTCAAAGCCTTCCTGGCAATGTCCTCAAACACTGGATCACCAGTGAGGTGGCTTAAAGTGGCAAATTCCACTATAAATGTCCCAATTCCAGCAGTACAGGTAACTGGGGTCTCCCCAGGATTTACACCATGCAGCAAGTTCACTGTTCCATAGGGCATCCCAGTTGGGGTCTGAAAAGCTGAAACGTAAGATTTGGGGTTCACTCTTTTGTCTGACACTCTCAAACATGTGCCTCACATTCCACTGCACACAGGCAAGAAGCAGGACTGAAGCAACTGCAGTAACTGCAAAGAATGAAATGAGAAGTAGAATGTGATCCTGGGAGGGGCAGAGGGGGCTCCCCAAGCTACCCACAGTCCTGGGAAGGTACTGCAGATCCCTTCCAGCCTGCCCAGAGCAGCAGACTGCATCCCTGCCTGTATTTCTTACAGCACAAGCAGGGTAGTCAAAATGAACTAACCCACTGGACAGCAAAGTGCAAACACTGAGCTTGTGATTGCTGAGTGGTAGCCCCAGGTGCCCACCACACAAGGAAACAGTGCCATGCTACCAGGGACACATCCCAGCAGCAGGTCATAAAAGGGTAGATAAGGCTGCATCTTATTGTCTTTACAAGCTGCTGTTTCACAGCCTTTATTTTTTATCCTAAATATATTTTCCCTCAACAAGCAACAAACAAACTGATGTTCTAAGCATATATAACACTTGGCATGCATTTATCCAACTGGTATCCAGCACTTCACAATGTTCTCCCAGAAAACTAAACTTGCTTTGAGCTTAGGGAACACAGAACCCTTTATGAGTATGCTCATCAAGCAGCACCACCTTCACCAAACACACCAGTCACCTCATGAGCCACGGCACAGACAACAGAAGTTCTTACCTGGTAGGAGTTTGCGAGCTGCTTCCTCTGCCATTCTCAGGAGAGGCCCAGAGCATGGCCAGCCCACTTCCACCTCAACACCAGCCTTCTTGGACAGCAAGTGAGCTGAGAGGAGGCCACCCACCACTGGAAGAAGCACAGTAACAATCACAGAATCACAGAGTGGTTTGGGCTGGAAAGGACCTTAAGACTATCCAGTTCCAATCCCCTGCCATGAGCACGGACATCTCACCCTAGACCATGTTGCCCAAGGCTCTGTCCAACCTGGCCTTGAACACTGCCAGGAATGGAGCATTTACCATTTCTCTGGGCAACCTGTTTCATTGTCTCACCACCCTCAGGGTAAAGAATCCCATTAAAGAAGCTGGGCAGGAGTCAAATCTGATACCTGTTGTATTTATCATGATGCAGGGACAGTGTCTGGGGGAAGAAAAATGAGATGGCTCATCCTTAACAGCCAGCACACAGGCTGATTCAACACGCCACAGAAGAGTGGTTTGCTTCTTCCTGCCTGTTTACAACAGGTAGCAGATTTATTTCTTCCATTAGTTTAGAAGCATCAGATCCTTCTTGCCCTACTACACCTGCACTGCCCTGCAATCAGAGAGCTAACAGTATACTGAACATGAACCTCTAAGAGAGGAATTTCATTTCTTCCAGACAGTTTAATACTATGTGTAAAGTGATACAGTGTCCTGTATTACATCTTATGTGATACAATCTTAAATTCCTTGGAAGAAAGCATCCAGGCCAGAGTTAGCACAGAGAAATTACACTGCTGCAAGAACTGGAGACCAGTAACGAGTGGCGTCCCTCAGGGATCAGTGTTGGGACCAATCTTGTTCAACATCTTCGTCGCTGACATGGACAGTGGGATTGAGTGCGCCCTCAGCAAGTTTGCCGATGACACCAAGCAGTGTGGTTCGGTTGATACCCTGGAGGGAAGGAATGCCATCCAGAGGGAACTTGACACGCTTGTGAGGGGGCTGATGCCAACCTCATGAGGTTTAACCATGCCAAGTGCAAGGTCCTACACCTGGGTTGGAGCAATCCCAGGCACAGCTACAGGTTGGGCAGAGAAGAGATTCAGAGCAGCCCTGCGGAGAAGGACTTGGGGGTGCTGGTCAATGAGAAAATGAACATGAGCTGGCTTCAGTGTGCGCTTGCAGCCCAGAAAGCAACCGTATCCTGGGCTGCATCAAAAGGAGCCTGACCAGCAGGGCGAAGGAGGTGATCCTGCCCCTCTACTCTGCTCTTGTGAGACCTCACCTGGAGCATTGTGTGCAGTTCTGGTGTCCTCAACATAAAAAGGACATGGAACTGTTGGAACAAGTCCAGAGGAGGCCACGAGGATGATCAGGGACTGGAGCACCTCCTGTATGAAGACAGGCTGAGGAAGTTGGGGCTGTTCAGCCTGGAGAAGAGAAGCTGCATGGAGACCTCATAGCAGCCTTCCAGTATCTGAAGGGGGCCTACAGGGATGCTGGGGAGGGACTCTTCATTAGGGACTGTAGTGACAGGACAAGGGGTAAGGGGTTAAAACTTAAACAGGGGAAGTTTAGATTGGATATAAGGAGGAAATTCTTTGCTGTTAGGGTGGTGAGGCACTGGAATGGGTTGCCCAGGGAGGTTGTGAATGCTCCATCCCTGGCAGTGTTCAAGACCAGGTTGAACGAGGCCTTGGGTGATATGATTTAGCATAAGGTGTCCCTGCCCACGGCAGGGGGGGTGGAACTAGATGATCTTAAGGTCCTTTCCAACCCTAACGATTCTATGATTCTAACTGCCTCAGCAATATTTGATAGGAGAAACACAAAAAAGCAGAACTAACAGTTTTGTTCCCTGACAGTGTTTTTGAGTTGGATGGCACTGAAGGAGTTCAGCATTCAATTGGGTACAAGACTTGTGATTTTCAATAAAGACAGTCAAGTTTCACTCATGACACTAAAGCAAGAAATTAATAACCTCTATTTCAAATCAGTATGGAAAACCATGATATAATTTGTGGCGTTTCAGTGGAAAAGATGTTTATTTCAGAGCCACAGACCTGGGACCAGCACACTGAGACTGCCACATCTGCTTGTTTGCACTGAGGCAGGAAGCAAAGAGCTGACGTGCAAAGACCAAAAGAAGTGACATCTGTTTGGGATTTTTCTGTTGGTGTACGTGTCCTCTCACACTGCATTTACAAACTCACTCTGTCCCCCACCTCACATGACCTCTGGGTACAGTTCAGAGGCTCCTACAGGAACACTGTGGAAAAAGGCCACCTCACCTCGAATGTTAGTTTCAAAGACAGATGCATTGACATCAATATCAAAATCCACCCCTTCCTGCAGCACACCAACGACTCGCTGGAACTCAGAAACGTTTCCCAAGATCTACAGGGAACAACAGAGAACAAGGCTTAGAGCTCGCAGGAAAACAAAGGTGCAAGCCAGTGTTAGGGACCAATGGTTGGTTTGTTTTATTAATTTTGTGAAATCATTAATTACAAAGAGCATTTAAAAAAGTGATAACCTGCCTCATCTGGCCTGTACCAGCACCAGTGAGGCAGCAGGGCCAAGGCAGGGACTGTGCCCCTGCACTGGGTGCTGGTGATGCCGCACCTCGAATCCTGTGTTCAGTTCTGGGCCCCTCACTACAGGAGAGACATTGAGGTCCTGGAGCAGGGCCAGAGAAGGGAACGGAGCTGGTGCAGGGCCTGGAGCACAAATGTGATGGGGAACGGCTGAGGGACCTGGGGGGTTCAGTCTGGAGAAGAGAAGGCTCAGGGGGGACCTGATCGCTCCCTACAACTACCTGACAGGAGGATGGAGCCAGGAGGGGCTGGGATCTGCTCCCAAGGAACAAGGGATGGGACAAGAGGAAATGGCCTCAAGCTGCACCAGGGCAGGTTTAGATGGAGATGAGGAGCAATTCCCTCCCCAAAGGGTGCTCAGGCATTGGAACAGGCTGCCCAGGGCAGGGCTGGAGTCACCGTCCCTGGTTCACAAGCCATGTAGATGAGGCTCTCAGTGCCATGGGTTAGTGGCAGCCTTGGCAGTGCTGGGGAACAGTTGGACTTGATGATCTTAAAGGTCTTTTCCAACCCAGCTGATTCTTTGATCTCATTCCAAAACGCTTTCTCCACACACACTGGATGTCTTTATCCCCGCGTCTGAAGGTGTGGGGCCCAGAGCCAGAGCACAGTGAACTGTGAAGGCTCCCTGGTCAATCAGTGACTGACCTGGTGCTACCGTATAAAACACAGGTGTGAAGGAGGCTGACAGTAACCTTGAGCGGCTGAAGGCCGCGGGCACACACAAGGCCGGGCCCCGGGGCTGCGGACAGCCCGTACTCACTAGCAGCGTGTCCAGGGCGTCGATCAGCGTGAGGGAGAAGCTGTGCGGGGAGAGAGGCGCGGTGAGGCCCGGCGGCAGCGCCCAGCGGCGGGGCGCCCAGGCCCGGCCCCGCGGCGGGCGGGCGGGGGGGGATGCCCCGGCCCGGCCCCTACCTGCCCCAGGTGTCCTGCCCGTCGCAGGTGAGCGGCCGCAGCTCGTCGTAAGGGAAGGCGCTCTCCAGGTAGTGCTCGTAGGCGTGGTAGAACATGGCGCGCACTCGCTCCCTGCGGCACAAGCACACAGCGCTCAGCCCCGCTGCGGCCCGGTGCCGCCCGGCCTCACCGCCCGGCCCCGCACTCACCGGTAGGACGCCACATCCAGCCCGCGGGCGGCCGCGCCGGAGCCCGCCGGCGGCCCCGGGAGCCACAGCGCCCAGAGACACAGCAGGGAGCCGAGCGAGCGCAGCACGGGCGCCGCCATAACGGCACCGCCGTACGCCCCGGCCACAGCCAATGGCAGCGCTAGGGGCAGGCAGCGCATGCGCAAGACGCCGGAAGTACTTTCAGGCTGGGCGTCCTGTTCCGGCGCGTCCCGGGCCGGAGGGCGGTGGGGGGCTGCGGTCCCGCTGTTACCGGACGGTGATGGCCGGGACTCCCCATCGCAGGCACGGGGGAGCCTGCGGGCATCAGCGGGCATCCCGGGCGGGCGTTGTGGCGCTGGCAGCAGAGGAGGTGGCAGCAGCTCTGGGACCTGGAAATAGATCCAAGTACCGGAGCTCTTGTAGTGGTGATGTGTGCGGTAATGACGTGGTACCGCGGGGGTGCCTGCTGCCAGGGAGGAGGAGACGGTTCCTGCCGCCATTCCTGTGTATTCCTCTGGCAGTGGGGCAGGAAAGGGCGCAGGATATTCGAGGAGCAGCTGGGAGGTTTCTGGCCTGTGGGTTGTCCTCCTGACAAACCATCCTCTTGGTCTTTTTCCCCTCTTAAATCCAGTTTTGTGTGGTGCATCCAGACCTGCTTCAGGAAACGCAGTGAGCCTGCCCCATGGAGCTCTGTGGTGCTGTCACTCTCCGCAGTGCAGGTGGGCTGCTCAGCCTGGTGTGATGCACTGTTGCAGCAGGACGGGCTCTGAGGCAGCCTGGCTCGCAGCAGCCCTGTTCCCTGCAAAAGCAGTGAGTCCCTAGGGATGTCAGTGCTATGACTCAAGCCAGGGAGGATTTCTGTGCTCACACTCCCCATGTGATTACACTGATTTTAGCACCCAGCTCTTGAACCAGCAGGTCCCGTTTTAACATCAGAGTGGTTGGCACATCCCTTGCTACACCTGCACCTATAGACTTCAACTGATCCACAGTGAATCCTTCCTTTTCTCTCCGTGCATGCCTGTAGGGGAGGAGGATTGAGGTGGGACTGAATCATGACAGCAGAAACAAGAAGTAATAAGCCAGTCCTGTTGTGTGGCAAAGATGCAGCATACAGAAGTCAATACTAAACCAGCTTGCTCACAGGAGAGGAAGGGGTGCATATAACCCAATGCTTTGTCATTTCATGCTGGCATTTGGCACTGGGAGGGCTGGCTGTTGATGTTCTTTAATGACAAAAGCCACTTTTTACCCCATGGCTCCTCTCCCGGGGCTGTCCCACTAGGTGTCAGTGCACACTCGTGTTCCTGTGTGTGCCCACAGCTCTGCTCCGTGCAGCAATAAACAGCCACCGAGTAATTTCAGCATATTGTTCATTTGCTGCAGCTGTAATGTAGGTTTCTGGGGCCATATATCATAAGGCTGTCTGCTTGCTTATTCCATGGCTCAAGGCCGCTGGAGTATATCTCACTGTGTTCCTGGGAAAATGAGCCTCTTGAAGCTGATTTCACTAAAAGCTGTCACAGTACATTACTGGAGTGCTTTTTATTAAAGTTTATTTTCCAGACTGATATTTAACAGTGTTCTAGACCACTGTCATTTACCATCGGCTGGAACAGCAACTGCTCTATCAAAGTCACTTATTGCATTCTAAAAGTTGACTCAAGTATTTTTAACCAGATAAAGTGCGTGAGTTGAAAGAAACCCAGGACAAGACAGAGGCAGGGCCCTACGGTGTCTGTTCCCTGGCATCATGGCATTGGAGGAAGGGGACTCCTGGGGGCAACATCGCAGACACTAATTGCACTACTTGAAGCACGGTCGTTAGTGCCTGCACCCTCTAAGCATTTGAAAAACATTTTCCTGGAGAAGAATGTAGCAAAGTGTAACAAAATCAGCTGTACATCATGAAAGAGCTTCCTGTCAGCCTGCAAAGACCAGGCATAGCAAAGACCAAACCAAGGGATGAGCAGAGGATGGTGTAAATGGGACTGAATTTATCTTTTTATCTTTCTTAATATTGTTTATCTCCTATGGAGCCAGGCTGAGAGAGCTGGGCTGGTTCAGCCTGCAGAAGAGAAGGCTTTGGGGAGACCTTAGAGGAACTCCAGTGCCTAAAGGGGCTACAAGGAACCTGGAGAGGGGCTTTGGACAAGGGCCTGTAGGGACAGGCCAAGGGGAATGGCTTGAACCTGCCAGAGGGGAGACTGAGATGAGCTCTTAGGCAGAAGCTCTTCCCTGGGAGGGTGCTGAGGCGCTGGCCCAGGGTGCCCAGAGAAGCTGTGGCTGCCCCATCCCTGGCAGTGTTCAAGGGCAGGTTGGACACAGGGGCTTGGAGCAAGCTGCTCGAGTGGAAGGTGTCCATGCCCGTGGCAGGGTTTGGAGCTGGATGAGCTTTAAGGTCCCTTCCAACACAAACCAGGCTGGGGTTCGGGGAATTGTTGCTGCAGGAACTGAGCAGTGCCTGGGATAGCCAACGGGATCAGAACTGTGTTGGTTGTGTTTGGTGCAGTTTCTGGCTGCAGTTTGTGAGAGCGCTTCATGCAGCTCTGGTTGAGCACCCTGGGCTGGACTGGGGAGGCAGCCGGGGCTGCTTCCTCCCAATCACTTGCTCCTCTGCCTCCTGACATAGCCACAGGTTTATTGCAAGCCCTGCTGAAACAAGGTGACTTTGTGTTGCCACCACAAGCCCCATCACTGAGGACTGGGGAACTGTCTGCCCTGTGTCCAGAGGGGAGAGCACCCTGTCTGTGCTGCTGCAGCTGCTACAAGGTCCCTAAACATAGGAGATGCAGCAGCTTCCAGTAGTGGTGTGGCAACCACCTGTGTGTTCATTAATAAACACAAATACAACTGCTGGCATGGAAATTGATTGGGAGAAAGGGTGCTTCTCAGTGTGGCTGTGGCACATACTAGAGGAATATTACTGTGTTGTGCATATAATATACAAGTTACATAGGCTTTGATGCAATAAATCACGGAAGATGCAGGGACAGAACATGTTTTAGGCTGCATCAGAGTCAAGTGCTGCTTCATCTGCCTCATTCCAGCTTGTCAGGGTGTCTGTACTGGCAAAATAATAGGATGTTTCATTTGGCTGTGGGAGAGGTGGTAATTACAGAGGCGTTCACACTTGGTTTTATGACATCTTTAGGCTGAGGACTTGTTTACTACTTGCTATTACCATAAGTGGTGCTGTTGCCCTGCTTGCAGTTTTGATGGCCATTAAGATGGAAACTGTATGTAAATGAGGATTGCACATTAATATTTATAATTCATGGTGGAATGTGAGAGTTTGTGATGAGAGGAACAGTGAGCAGGAGGTTTATGAACACTGAAAACTGTTGCTAAGGTGGTTCTCTTGAAATCATTTTCCTTTGCGGCCCAACATCCATTCTTAATTTTAGTAGTTCATACAGCAGGGTGGAAACGATGATTGATTTTCCTCCAAGTGCTGTGGGCTGCTTCAGTCGAGATTTCACTCTAAAAGACTAGACATTTCCAATTGCTTTTTATAACTTCAGAATTGATTTTATTTGTTTAGCACCTGACTAACATAATAAAAGAGAAAAGAAATCCAGCTAAAGAGAAGGCACAGCAAACTGACAGGCTGCCTGATTTGTGGCTTTCCTTTCGGTGCTGTGATTTTTAGCCATGCTGCAATTGAAGCGGGAAAGAGATGGACTCCCAGCTGCCTAGGGGTGACTGGTGAGGTGTCCCAGCACTGCACAGCCCTGCTTCCCCCAGCAGAGAGTATGAGTAGGGGAGGTCTCACCAAGGGGGCACTTAGCAGGCAGAAACAACAGCAAAAGATGAGAAAGGGAGAGCTGACGTGGCATCACCCCAGCCTAGATTCATAGAACAGTTAGGGTTGGAAAGGACCTTAATATCATCTAGTTTCAACCCCTTGGCTTCAACTGAGTCTCTTTAAACCTCTTAATGATTTTTCTTTCACTAACTAACTAACTAACTAACTAACTAACTAACTAACTAACTAACTAACTAACTAACAGACTAATGTAGTTGCAGGAACTGTAGGTAGGCAGCAGCCAGAGAATTAATGCAGTGAGGTCTCCCGTTCCAAACAGGTCTCTTCCAAAGAGGGCCATGCAGAAGCTGTCTGTACTGCATTCCCAAAGAATGGTGGCTTTATATAGAGTTTGAATGTTTTATGCAAGTCTGGCTTGATGTTGGGATTTTGACAAGTGAGAAAGCAAAAATAAAACCCAGTTTGCATCAATGTGACTTGGTTTTTAGTATGGGGATTTATGCACCCATGTTACCTGACATTGATAGATACCAAAGCTGCCACACGTGTATGAATGAGGCTTCATTTTCTTTATCTGAGCTTGGATTTCCCATAGGGATTGTGGCTTTGATATATTTTTACCAGGAAGATTTAGAGGTGCTCAGAAGATTGGTGTCTGTAGAATACAGATGGGCCAATAGGGGACGAGCCATGGCCAGGGACACCTTCCACCAAGCCCCTGTGTCCAACCTGCCCTTGAACACTGCCAGGGATGGGGCAGCCACAGCTTCTCTGGGCACCCTGTGCCAGCACTTCAGCACCCTCATTTGATTTTGGCCTTGAAGTTCAAAAGACTTGAATGTCTGGGAGAGTCCCCATCTTTCACACTCACACGGTGAATCTGGTGAGAAGGGCTGGTTTGACAGCTGGAGAGAAGCAATGAGAAATCCCTCCCTCTGGAAACACAGAGGAGGCAGAGACACTTTATTCCCTAGTTTATGACTGTGTAAAACAAATTCACTGAAACTTGCCACTGCACAAGGATCTCCTGCTGTTAGTAAAGGTCAGAGCAGAGGTGAGTTTGTTTCTCAAAGCAGGAGACCAGGAGAGTGTAACTGCGCTGGTAACCGCTGCCAAAGGGGTGCAGGACCAGGGGCAGGTGGGTTTGGAGCTTCTGTAGGGATTTCTCTTGTATTTGGGAAAAGGGAATTTTGAACCATGCAGAGATTCACCAGAGCAGAGCTGAGAAGTCACTTTTTAGTGGTGGCCTTGGCAGTGCTGGGCTAACAGTTGATGATCTTAAAGACCTTTTCCAACCTGGTTGATTCTGTGGTTCTGTGATTCTGGTTCTCTCCAGCATTCACCTCCTTTTTGCCTTTTCCTGTTTGCTTTCAACCTAAAGCTACTTTATTGCCACTACACAAAGTATGTCATATATATGCTATGCATTAAGGTAGGCAGGTGACAACCCTGGCAGCTACTTTCTGTCTCTAGACTTACTTTTTGACAGGGGTAAGCAGTAAGCTGCTCCCTGGTAGCATCGTTTCAGTCTGCTTGGGGGTAATTGGCAAACCCTCAAAGACTCTGTGGAAATTACACTGATACTTGATAATGCTAATTTCTGACACAGAAATCACCATGAAAACAGCCCAGTCCATTCCTGTGCAACTCTGAAGGCTCAGGATTGCAATGTGCTGATAAACAAGCTGTGATTCGTGGAGAACCACAGATTCAAGGAATGAGTCTTTAAAGGAGAAAAGAAACCTGCGCCCAAAACTTGCTCAAAGGTCTCCAGTAAGGCTGTGGCTGCTCTCCTGGGCTTGGTGCTGTGCTGGCTGGAGGCTGCTCCCATATAACTCCTTTAGTCACTAAAGGATAGTCCCCTGGGGGACTGTGGTGATCTGTGAGGGGGAGCAGGCTGGCAGGGGCTAGCAGCCTGCATCCCAGCACCCTGTGGCATCTGGGTGCTGCTTCCACATCCATGCCTGTCACCTGAAGGACTTCCCTAAGGCCTCAGCTCTGCAGCTCCCAGCAGGACCATAGGGATGTTTTCACATCCCCTTTGCTGCCTGGCAAAGCCATGGACGAGGACAGCTTTTGGTGGGGAGAACCAGCCTGGAGCTGGCCACTTCTGCAGCAGCCTGGACAGAGATGCCAGCCAGAAAGCGAGGGGCTGGCAAAGATCTTTGTGTTGAAACCTCTCTGGCAAACATTTGGTGGTTTGTAGAGAACTGAAAGAATGAAAACTTTGCTTTAAAAACTGAACTTTCAGTTTTCAGTTGTTTGGGATTATTGATAAAAATCAAGCATGTTTTCAGTGGCAGTGAGTTTTCAGAGCAGGGTTTGGTGGCTAACCACCCGCTCCCTCCGCAGTCAACCAGAGCTGTTTCGAAGGCAGTTTTAGAATCGTAGGCTGGACCAGGTTAGAAAAGACCTTTAAGATCATCAAATCCACCCATTCCCCAGCACTGCCAAGGCCACCACTAACCCATGGCACTGAGGGCCTTGTCTCCACGGTGTGTGAACACTTGCAGGGACGGTGACTCCAGCACTGCCCTGGGCAGCCTGTTCCAATGCCTGAGCACCCTCTGGAGAAGGAATTGTTCCTAATATCCAGTCTAAACCTCCCTTGGAGCAGCTTGAGGCCCTTTCCTCTTGTCCCATCCCTTGTTCCTTGGGAGAAGAGACCAGTTTTGCACCTGAGTCACTTGTCTGTGCCCCCACAGAGCTCCTGCCCCTCTGGACAGTGCTGTGAGACACAGGTAGCTCTTGGGACCATGGGAGCCCCTGGAGGGCAACTGGGCACACTGTGCCCTTGTGATG